AATAATATTCCTTCCCTGTGCAGGAAAATAAGTTGCTGATTATTCCTGTATAATTCCTACAGAACTTATTATCTCTCCCCATCATTTGGCTATCTTATACAATAGTTCTCCCCAAACCTGAGACCCCCTTCACAAATTAAAAAACATGCTGATTTCCTTTGGTGCATCTTTTCTTCAACCAAGAGATCTACTTTTCTAGTATCTGAGAATTGCAAGTCACTCCTACTGGGGAATAAATGAAAGAAAGTAAAGGGTGAGAACTTTAAAAGGAAGACAAATGATAGAGCAGGCATAAAGAAGTCTCAGGAAAGAGTGAAGAAAAGTGAAGGAATGATGACTAGACCCTAGAAATAAACTCCTACCCACCTCAGTAGAGAGAGCTGAGAGCCACATGTAACAGGCACTGAAGGCCTATGCTTTGGTGTGAATGTACTACAAGCAAAGCCCTCATCATAGAGCTGTATGTACTGAGGAAGGCTTGGGTGAGCACACTACCTAACTGCTGCATCCCCAAGGCTTCAACGGATCCTAAGGAAGCTAATCAACAACTTCAAATTAGAAAATCAGAAAAGTACTGAACATTTAGAGAAAGAACAGAAAGGGGAAAAAATGCCTCCCAGTTGTACATTATCTGCCTGATTGTGTATTCTAATTGTGTATTAAAGCAAAACATTTATATATCTCACCAGAACTAAAGTAATGAGAAAGATGCTCACGTTTCCACAGAACAAGAGTGGTGCTGCACTCATTACTACAAATTTAACAACAGTAAATGGAAAATATGGATGCACTCATATAGTCCTTCATACTTTCATGTACTACCTCAAATTCACTAATCCCATTTTTTATTAAGTGTTAAGTTTTCAACCGTATCTATTCCCAAGATTTTGAGAGACTTAACTCCCATGGTTAAGAGGAGGCTTCCATAAATTACTTGAGCTTCTTATTATATTTCGTCTCTTCAATGAAACACTAAGCCACTTAAGGCTAAAACTATGTCTTTTACTACTTTAAATCCCTTCTATGTATTCTGCATGGAGTAGATGCTAACTAAATGTTTGGTCATTTAACATTTAACAAAAAACAAAGTAATATACACAGCAAAGAATTACTCTAAATATTATAATAAGGCTTCTGAGGAAAAGACCTGCCTTCAACAGGTTGCTAATCACTTCTATCGTATTGATATTTCAAATATGCCACAGTTGGAGGGGTTTGGAAAGGAAGAGGAACAGTACACAAAATCATTATTGTTGCTGTTTAACAATCATCATCATTTCAAAAGTATGCCAGAATTTCCACAAACTTCCACTATGTGAAAATATCTTCTCTCTAAAGACTATTATACAAACTGAGCCAGATCTACCCCCAGACCTATTTATGAATAGGATAATAACGATTAGAAAGTAACAACACACTCAAATAGGCATCGATACTGAATATATTGCTTATTAACTGGAAGGAAATAGGATTATGGCATTGGCAGGTCAAGGAAACAAAATAGGGGATATATATTTAAATATTTGCAAGTTTGTAAGAGTCAAGCAAGTTAATTTGCAGAATTGCACAATTTGTTCAATTTGACTAGAACAAAAAACAGTAGGGAAAAATTTCCATATGGATAGTGGGAACATACACTGAATGTCTGGAATCAAGAATTACTTGGAATTACTTAGGTCTTGAATCAAATATTTTTACCAACATTGCAGGAAAAAAGTGATACAAATTTATACATTACAGACACATGAAACTCAAAAGAAATATATACCTATAAGAATGAACTAGTTTCTAAAAACTTAAATGGATGAAAACATATAAGGAAAATCTGATGCAAAAAAAGCCATTCCAAAAAAACATAAGCCAACAGAAGCAACAACTATAAAAAACAAATACTAGAAAAAAAGCTAAGAAATAACAAAGAGCATACTAGTAAATCAAACTGAAATGTGTAACATGATAAGTCATATAAAAACCACTGCAGTTAGTTGGAACCCTCGTACATTACTGGTGGGGTGGGGTATAATGTGCAACCACTGTGGAAAAGTTTGGCAATTCCTCAAAAACTGAAATATAGAAATGCCAGAATCCCATTCCTAGTTTATACCCAAAAGAATACCCAAAACAAGATTCAAATAAATACTTGTACATAAATGTTCACAGCAGCACTATTCACAAGAGCCAAAAGGTAGAAAGAACACAAATGTCCATCAACAGATGAATGGATAAACAAAATGTATATACAGACAATGGAGTATTATTCAGCCTTAAAAAGGAATGAAGTACTGACACATGCTACAATATGCATAAGCCTCAAAACATTATACTAACTGAAAGAAGCCAGACACAAAAGGTCACATACTGAATGATTCTATTTACATGAAATATCTAGAATAGGTAAACCCTAAGAGACAGAAAGCAGATTTGTGGTTGTCAGGGTCTGGGGCAGGAGGGAATAAGGAGTAACTGTTCAATGGGTACAAGGTTACCTTGGGATGTGGTGAAAATGTTTTGGGGTTTTCCTTGGTTGTGATGAAAATGTTCTGGAACTAGAGGAGTTAATAGTTCTATAACATTGTGAATATCTTAAATGTCACCAAATTGAACCTTCAAAATGGTTAATCTTATGTTAATTTCACCTCAATAAAAATAAAAATACCATAAACACAAATATCCCACCCCCAACCCAAATGCAGTTCAAGAATAGCCATATTTCTTATTGTGTTTATACTGTAAAATACTAAAATTGTTTTCCAGAGACTTCTCTACATACCTGATTACCAGCTTCCTTTTCTTCATTCCTAAAAGACATACCTAAGTCCATCAGTCCCTTACCTCTAGAATTCTCAATTCCATATGGCTCAGCTACCTTTTATCCGATTCTCACCAGCCCTCTTCAATCCCTTTCATTTATTTTGCCCTGAGAAACCCTAGTTCTATTGTGAGCCACCATCCAGTTAACCTGCTCCTCTTTCTGTGGAAAGATAAGCTTTCTTTTAAATTCATCAAGTTTTTCAGTATGTAAATTTGAAATGACAATGAGATACCCAAATGGAAATATTCAGCACAGCGGACATGGAGAACTTAAATTCAAGAAAAGTGGTTGATCATTATGAACACGTTAGTATTTGATAAAACTAGGTGTCACGTTAAGGGAAGGCAATTTAGAGAAAGAATAGGCTAACTGCTTGTTTTGACCTTCTGTAATATTTTGCAAAACCCTGGATCATTTGGTTTCTGTCATCTTGCCCCAGGTATTACTGGGAAAAGTTATAAAATCCTTCAAAGTGAGTTCATTTCAAGTTCATACTGTTTCCATTTTGATTGAATGCTACTTCTAAGCAATCTTTTTATTCTCTTATTGTTAACTCATTAGTGTAATGATTTCAGCCTACTCCTGAGGAGCTGTAGAATCAACCCGATGTGTAGCCAGAGGGATGCATTAATTATATAAGGACATATGTGGGAGACAGGCCTTATATTTTTCAAATGTGCAGACAATGCTGTGGTTAATAAAATACAAAGTCACACATGAAGAGTACTGGTTAGTTTTTTGCTAATATGTATTTTTTCAATTAACAAATACTAAAAATATAACCTTAGTCACCTGGTGAGTCTACAAATTGTTCTAAAGTTAAAGAGGTTGTCATCTTCAAAATATTGGGAACCACACCTAAGACTACTCCTTGTAGCACCTAAGCTTCTGAGTACCCCCTGCCCACTTCCAGACCCACTTCCACTTTCATTTTCCCAAGAAAATCAAACACATCCTCACAAATTCCCTCATCCGCCTCAATCCACCTGAATTTATTCTTTCTTCTCTACCTCTATAAATATTTGGTAATTTAGCAATTAAATGCCTCCTTCCTTCTAAGACTAACTCAGACACATATACCTGATCCCATCTCTTACTTACCTCCCCCACCCCAATCCATCAAATGGGTTTAATCTTGCCTTCAAAAGGTTTTCCCCTTCTACTTAAAAACATTATCAAATCTCTCTTATTCTGACAAAAACTTTACTTGATTCTGCTCTATTTTCTAGCTACTATTCTATCTATTTTCTTCCTTTTGCTGTCAGATCCTCAGACCTGGCTTATCACAGCCTGAGCCAGACATCAGTTTTGTAAATAAGATTCTGCTGAAATAGCCATCCCATTTCTTCAGTATCATGGCTGCTTTCCTACAACAAGGGCAGTTAAGTAGTTAGGAGATCCTATGGCCTCGAAACCTAAAAATATTTCATCTGGCTCCTTAAAAAAAAACTTTGTCAACCTCTGGGGCTCCAAAGCATTATCTATATTCAACACCACCAATTCCTCTGAGGACAGGTGGGGACAGTTAAACATTTGGGAGCACCAGTAAAGTACCATAAGGGCATTTCAAGACCACCAATTTTACAACAATGTACAGGGAAGATATAAAAGAAAACCATCTAAGATAAACCATTTGCATTCTTTCCTGCAGTCTACTGTACACTTACAGCTTTTCATAGTTTCCTACCTCACAAACTATGAAGTTTCTAAAAATCTTAATACTAATTCCGTATCTTCTGTGTACCAGGCATTCTGCGTGCTTGCTATCTGGCTAACTCCTAGTAAGCAAATCAATTAGGAAGAGGCAGAACCAACAGTGTTGGCAACCGAGAGCACAGGGCCAATGTCAGAGGTGGATGGAGTACTCACCTGTGGTACCAAGCAGAGAGAGAGGGGAACTAAGATTTCAGGTCCAGAAATGGCTCTAGCCAAACAGAGGAAGCAGTTATGAATTTGCTTACAGCAGAAGCAGAGTGTCTTTGATATTGTGACATACTCTTTCTGATGTTCAGACAGACCACCATTAAAGTAGCCATTGGTAAAAGAGTCTCATGAGAAACAAGCCAAAAAACAAGACCAAAAGGTGAGGAATTAAATGGAGCAGACCCTATTGGTCTTTTGTCTCCAAAAAGCAGTCTTCCTTATTAAAGATGATACTACTTTTCAAAATGGCCAATATGATACTAACCTTCATTAACAGACTTTTCACATCCCACAAGATTGAGAAGGATATCATCATCTTTATCATCAACTTCACATCCCAGCAACATCCAGCTTTCAACGTTTTCGCTTTCTGAAATGGTACTCTCCTCCTCTTCACTTGAACTGACCTCTATAATCATGACCTCTTGGATTGTACCTGATCGCTCTCCAGGTTTAGTCTTCTCGATATCCCTCTTGCACTTCTTATCTGCCATTTCATTAGAATGAAGAGAAGCAGAAGGACCTTGGGTCTTTTCTTTTGTGTGAACTCTAAAATTCTTTCTTTTACATTTGTAAATACTATCTTCATCAGACAGTGTGATGACGTCTGACCCATCTGATAGCTGGATGACCTCACTATCTGAAAGGATAATTAAGCTCTTCTGATTTGGCTTACTACTGAATGATTCAGAATTCCCGGAGTTCTTTTCTTCATGTTCTTCCTCCCTGATGACATTATCAAGATCTTGGGCATAATGAACTTGGCTGTAGAGCTGAAATTCCACCTCACTATCAACACTCAGTTCACTAGATGATTCTTCACGATAAAGGTCATCTTCATATGCTTCTATAGTCTCATAACCACCAAACATCATGGAAAGTCAGTAATCTTGATGCTGTAAAAGAGAAAGTGATAAAAAGAATATATTTTAACAGCTCAGATCATGCCTGTTTAGTGCATAATGATGTCACCTCTTAATTTCTATGAAGGCCATCACTTTTCTCAATGATACATTAAAATACCTTTTTCTCTCAAAGTAGTACCACTTCTCAAGGATTTCTAAATTGTTATGAACTACTCTAATAATGCCCACCCCTCCCACATGACAATTACTACCAACAAGTTGAGTTATAGTTATTAATGGAAATGTCATATTTCACAAGTATGTTGGAAAGGAAAAACAGGGTGAGATCCCCTGTTTCAGACACCTAACACTTCTCCAAAGTGTTAAAAATCACAAAAATACTTTAAGTCATTTGCACTACTGTTCCATCCATTCTTCATCTTTTCCCTGGTTCTGTATCTCACCTTTTTAGGTATACATTCGCAGACAGGAATTTTACTTCAACTATGATGAAATCCATAAAAGGACACAATTATCATATTTACTGTTTGGATGTAGTTTTTTTATTCTCATTTAAAAAAATTAATCTCATGGCCTTCTGATCCTTGACCAAAAGAATACATAAAAATACCTGATAAACCTAGCTACTTCTCTACTAGCTATAAAGATGTGTATGAAATACAAACTAATCACCTAAAATTGAGGTAAAACTCGCTTTCGGCGCACTTCACTTTCTTACTATGAGCATATTAAATCCCACTCATCCTTCAACTCAGTTTAAATGTCACTTCCTCATGGAAGCTTTCCTTGACCCACCATACTAAACTGTCAACCCTATATAGTTTCCACAGCACTTTATACATTTCATAACATTCACATTTCTAATTACTAATGGAATGTAAATCTCCCACAAACACAGATCACATACCCTCGGAGGGCAGGAACTATATGCACTTTGTTAAACAATGGATCCCCAAAGCCAAGCAGAGTAAACTGTTTTGCAGGATCTCTACAAATGTCTGTTGAATTAATGAATGAATAAATGAACAATTTCATCAAGCATTTGTTCTTCAGTTCTAATAAATCTAATATGTGCCTAAAATATGGAAGTTATGATGAGATGAATTTTGTAGTTGTCTCCAACTACTCTGAATAGTCTCATATCATCAACCAAATATCTACACAGGTGTTTCAATTAAGTACTGATGGAATATTGATCAAGATAAGAACTCTGGGGGAAAAAAAAACTTATTTTTGTTAAAAAAAAAATCTGGAACAGTCTAGAGGACAATAACAATGACAATTTATTCTCTCCACTCTACTTTTAGCTATACAGATATAATTTAGAAAGGCTAATTGTTTTCTTAGTTTACCAATTCTCTGCCCAAAATGTCCAGGTACTTTTGATGACAGAAGCTACTGTCTCCAAGAATCAAATGAACAGGAACCAAAAAATGTACTACACTCATGCTGGAATTTCTTGTTTTACAGAAATAAAGAAACCAACTTTTGCTGTACACCTTAAACTTATACAGTGTTATACATCAATTATATCTCAGTTAAGCTGGTTGGGGAAAAGATGATTAAGTTCTGAGTTAACAATGTACTGTATACTTGAGATCTGCTGAGAAGATAAATCTTAAATAATCTAACAACAACAAAAAAAGATAAATATGTGAGGGGACGGATGTGTTAACTAACCTTAATACAGCAACCATTTCACAAAATATACATATTTTAAATCACGTTGTACACCTTAAGCTTACACAGTGTTATTTATCAATATATCTCAATAAAGGTGGGGGGGGAAACCCCAACATTTAGTGTCTTTTTTTCTTTCTAAAAGGTATAAGATATCTATTCCCTTTTTGTAAATGTCCTTCAGGTTGCTATGCTGTTGTTGTCATACAAGTTGAATGTGGCTGTCTGAATAATAATGCTCATAGCATTTATCAGTTTATATTGAAATGTTAGCCTCAGAGGAATTCAAATAAAAGATGAATCCTTTCCTTTTTATTTAATAGGTAAATTAATTCTAAAAGAAGTCAAAGGAATTATGCTTCCTTCAAAATCCTCACTGGATCCATCCTGAGGATCCAGTGCGGACTTAAGATAAAACATAATTCCAGTGCAGCACAGAAAAAATTAAAGAGCTAAATTACAGAGTTACAAATTTGTACTACTTTTGGAGCCATCCCAAAGGAAAGGGATTAAGAATAGAGCCATAGGCACACCTGTGAATATATGCCAAAAATAAACTACAGAAATAAAATAAAAACTGACTTCCTTGGGCCTAAGGGTTTATCTCTTTCCCTGAAATGTAGAAAAATGAATTTAACAATTTAGCCCCTATGGCCTTTAAGAGGATTTTGTACCTTCTGTACTTGAAAATTGTGCTCAGCATAACCTGCTCTTCTATTTATGTAGCTTATGTATGCCAGAGTTAAGGTTTGCCTGAGGCTGTTTTGGTTTATGTTACTACTTTAATTATATTCAAGTGCATTTAATTTACTTTTTAATGTACACTAAGAGGATGAATATGAAAAAAGTATATACAAATGTGTATATATATATGTATGTCTTGATTCAGAAGGATTTCTCAGCTTTTTGATCATTGTACACAATTCTCAAGCATACTTAGCTAAGTAACATAAAGCCCCTACAGAAGTCACAAAATTTTAAATCTGGAAGAGACCTTTCAGATTATCTCATAAAACCTTCTCAACTTATATATAAGGAAACTGAGGTACAAAGAGATAAGGAGGTCTATCCAAAATTATTTAGCTGGTTAGGAACATAGTTAAAACTGATACATATTTCACTGACTACTCAGACAAGTATTCACTAAGATTTTTAAAAAATTAATAATTTCAAATAAAGATTTTTTTAAAACCTCCCTTCAAAGATATATTTGCGTTGGTTGTAACACCTAAATTTACCTCACAAATATCCATTTTACTTCCCAGTGGAATATAAAAACTGTGAAAGGTACTTTAGTTGGAAAGAAAAGCATAACATTTGAATTCGTCAGTCTACATCCAAGAGCCTTCCAAAGACTCTTTGGTACCCAAAGACTATAGCAATCCCATGACCAAAAAAGATGGCTCTTACATAGGAACTTAAAATATCAGTTTGGGACTAAAACTTATCTGAAGAATTTAAATGGCTTAACAAACATAAAACTGCTATAGAGAATAACTGTAAAGGCTCTCACCATTCAAAAGTGGGAGCAATATTCATTCACTGTTCTTAAACTAGACAGCTTAAGGCTTATTTAAGCTTCCAGATTTTACTATACAATCTTTAAAACCAATACTTCTGCTCAGTCTATCAACTGATCATTCCGGACGTTTTGCTCTTATTTGTCTTCAATGACTTTAAGCCTAGATGTTTCTTCTTGATGAGATGGTTATTCATCTCAAGGAGATTTAAATCAAATTCACAGCTTGATTTTAAGCCACGTTTTCATTAAAACGTGATTAATAGTTTAATTTCAACGAAAAATTACTCATAGTGAGTTATCCTGACAGTAACAGATTTGAAACACTGTTGTCTCTAGTGTTAAAATTTCTGTCCACTCTTCAAATGTGACTTTCACTTTGAAGTAAATCTATGATAGCGAATCCAAATGTGTGAAACAATGGTCAACATAGAAAGAGGAAGACAGAATACAAGTTGTTGATGGGAGAAAATTGTGTTAAATTTATTCAGACAAGTCCAGTTGTTCTTGATGTAAAGTCTTTTTATGATAACTAATCCTATTGCAAAACACTTTCTTCATCTTTCCCTCAGACCTTTTTCATTTTGCTACACAGTATCTTATCCTTGTAACTATTTTACAACCCTCACTTCCACTTCTTCCTCAGTTCATTCCCCACCCTCAGATTCTCATGAAAACTGCGGCAGTGAACTGTCCCCTAAGCACAATACCTGTCTAAAATATACATATAGCCTAAGTATTCAAAACACAAAGTCAAGAGTTTTGGGAGGGACCTGAAAGTCATTAAATTGGACGCTCATTTTATACATAAGAGAAATGGGCTCTGAGATACTTGTTTAGCCACTGGGTCTAAAAGATCTCCTAGTTCAACCCTGTAATGTGAAATTAAGGTAAATTCAGCCTGAAGAGATTTCTACAATCACCAGCGCGAGTCGGTGGTGGAGCCGCGTCTAGAACTCGGCCCTACTGACTCTCACCCAGTCAATTCACTATATCCGCAGCTCTTAAAGTTGAAGTTAACAGCCGGCTCTCATGAGGTGAGGGATAACACAGTCCAAGTCTCCCTGTTTTACATGCGGGAAGGGGCTCATGTCCCGAAATTTTTCTGGTCCCACAGCTGCAGCTATTGCTTGTGACAGCTGAGGCTGAAGCTAGCCCAGGACTGTTCCGTCCTCAAAGGCAGAGCTCCCTTTGCGTTTAGCGGACTGACCGGCTTCCCTAAAAGACAAGGGAATCTTAGGGACGGGGGGAGGTAAAATAGGAAGAAACGGCACCCCCATAGAGGCCATGGGCGCCCAGACCTTTCTGAACCACCACCTCAGGCCTTGGAAGAGCAGGCAGAAGCGGACACCCTAGCGAGTCAGCCGAGTCGCGTGCGGCGGAACTCGACTTGAGAGGCCACCAGCCGAGCCCCACTACAAGTGAGGAACGGGGGACGCGGAGGCCGGCGAAGGGACACGCGCTAGTTCCACAGCCCAGAGGGCGAGGCGGAGGGAAGGCAGGGGTATCCCGGCCGCGGACGGCTCGGGTCCATCACACATACTCACTGCCGCGGCTGCGACCAGGAAGCACCAACCAGGAACCAAAACGCGTAAAGGGACGGGGAGGGGCGAGGACAAATGAGGTAAGGAAAGCGCGTCCGCGCGGACCCGGGAGGAGGGAAGGCACTTCCGGGGAAAACACAACTCCCGGGAGTCGTCTTCCGTCCCCGCCCACCCGCCGGACCTTCCAAGCGCATGCGTATTAACTGTTAACCCTTTCCCTTCCCTGCTGATAATCTTTTGGTTCACCTTTCTTGCTTTGCTCTTTCACCTCCACAGCTTCTTTCAGAGAACCTAGGGCACACCATATTTGAATGACTTGCACGGTAGAGATGCTACTTATCGAGCGAAACCGGGGACGGCTAACACCTTTCTGTGCCCGCGAAAAAAAACTACATTTCCCACGATGCTCCAGAGTGGCTCCTAGGCCGGGCTCCGCCTCCTTGCTTGACCTCTGGGGACACTCCCCATGTGCCACGTGGCACGGGAGCAGAGCCGTGACCCCGGTAGGGGACGAGGGCCGGTAGGGCAGGCGATTTGGCTGACAGACTCCGGGAACCGCAGCAAGGCAGAAGCCTCTTTGAGAGCGCCTGGCTTCTAGATCCTTCTCTCTTGAGCTGGGTGACCTTAGGCAGGTCTCTTCCACTTCTAGGTTGAAGTTGAACTTAGTTTACTGGGGCGCTTCCGGCTCTTTTTTTCCTAGAACACAAGGCAACAGATTTAACTCTTTGTGAACCTTGAAGAGCTGCACTGTTGCTAAAGGTCGAAGTCAATACTGGTCTCTCGGAAGCCCCCAGAGGCAACAGATTGTGTTGGGAGACTCTCGCTTTTGTTCTTCTTCTTACACCTTGTTTTGATAGTTGGTAGTAATAAACCCAACTGTACAACTTTACAAATAAGGAAGTACTTTACCACTTCATCAGCCCTTGGCAATAGTCTTGAAAGATAAGCTTGACATTATTTTTGCCAATGTTCAATTAACGTCTGTTAAGAGCCAGGCAGTACTAGCATTTGCAAATATAGTGTTAAATTTTTGAAGTCCCTGGTCTCATAGAGCTACAGTCTACCTGGGAAAGCAGAATACAGATACCCTGCTTATAGTCTAAGAGTTTGACCAAGGGAAAATAAGTAGAAATTTTAGTTAACATTATGGTAAGTGCCAAGAAGGAGGACAGGATACAATGAAAAGGTAAAATTGGAGGACCCATTATGCAGAGGAGGAAACAATAAGAAAAATGAGCCACAGAGATTATTAGATTGTTAGGTAATGTGTACTGTGTAGAACAAGTATTATCTTTTTTAAAGTTGTTTAATTATGTATTTGGTGGCACTCACAAAAATTCCCCTGGGTGAGTGACTCGTCCTTACCCTTCCATTGCAGAGGGAGGAGCAACTTCCTTCCTTTTATTCTAGTTTATTAGTAGTATCTGGAACCTCTGAAAATTAATCGTTTTGAACTTTTACCAGTTGCCTTTTCCATTACTGTTCATTCACTGAAAGCCTGCTATGTAACAGCCCCTTGCTGGCCACTTCAGATATCTTGTCTCACATATAATGTAAGGGAGTATTAGCCCATTTTACCAGTGTGGAAACTGCAGCTTGGTGAGGCCATGTAACTTAATCTAAGTCACAAAACTGGGATTCAAACTCAAGCCTAATCTGAGTCCTAGACCCATGTTCTTTTCTACACCAAAGCTGTCTTTCAAAACTAAATTCCATGAGGGTGGAGACTATGATGACCTGCTCCTTTCTCACCCAGCACTTAACCCAAGGCAGAGTATATAGCAGGATCACAGAGAACCATTGTGGAATGAGTGGATTTAGCATGGGCTGTTTGCTAAATGAAGGCCTGGATGCAGTATGAACAGTGTTGTGGAACACTGGAGGAGGGAGCACCTGGCTGCTTAGAGGAAGTAGAGAAGCCTCCTGCAGAGGAGGAGACTAAGTAAGTGGTCCAATCCAGGATTCTGACAGTAAAGAACACCAACAGACAACTCACCAAAGAAATCCCAAAGGCTATGAACTATAAGAGGTGCTCAATGTCACTGATAATCAGAAAAATGTGAATAACTTCATATACTGTGGATGGGGATACAAACTGGAAAAGCCTTGTAGGGAGCTAATTGACAGGATCCATCAAAATTGTAAGTGAGCTGTGTTCTTAAAAGTATGTGGAAAGATTGTGATAGGAAAAAAAGGAAATGGTATAAATATTCACCAATAGAACAAGGATACATCTATACTATTATAAAAAAAAACTATGCTGCTTTTAAAAGAATGAGATGAATATATACTGACATAGAAATATCTCCAAGACATACACTTAAGTAGGAAAAAAAGGCAAATTGCAGAGCAATAGGTGTATTCTGTACTCATTTTTGTTATAGTTTTAAAGGACCTATGTGTGACTGTATATAGATATATGTGTGTATATAAATGCATAGAGAAAATGCTGGATGGATGCCAATCAATAATAGTGGTTACTGACTTCTGTGGAAGGGAGTGGGAGTAGAGGGGGATAAAGAGGGACTTTCACTCAAAAAAAAACAAACTGAGGTGTGATCCATTGGGAAGAACACTACAGAACTTCTGTGGTACTCCTACTATAAGCACATAACCTAAATATAATCATGAGGAAACTATGAGACAAAAATAAGTTGAGGGGCATTCTACAAAATAACTGACTTGAACGCTTCAAAAACATCAGTGTTAATAAAACACAAAGAAAGACTGAGGAACTGTTCTGCACTAAAGCAGAGTAAAGAGACATGATACATGATAAATTCAGTGCATGCTCTAGGATTTTCTGTAGGCATAAAGAATATTATTGGGTCAACTGGCAAATGCAAATGAATCTGGATTTGATTGCAGTGCTGTATAGATGTTATTCTCTTGATTTTTAAATTTATATTATGGTTGTATAAGAGAATGTCCTTTTTTTCGGCTATACACTGAAGAACTTGCAGTAACAGGGCATCATGTCTGAAAGTGATTCTCAAGTGGTTCAGAAAAAAAATTGTGTTGGGGACAAAGGGGAGGGAGAGAGAAAGGAGAATAATAACACAAACATGGTAAAAAGTTAACATTTGGGGAATCTGGGTAAAAGGTATTTGAGAATTCTTTCTATTAATTATGCATTTTTCTCTAAGTCTGAAATTACATCAAAATATAAAATTAAAAGGAAAGCTGAAAAGAATGAATAAGAGTTTGCCAGATAGAGAAGACAGGGGAATCTTCTGTCAAAGAAACAAGATAAGCGAAGGAAACTGACAAGTGTGAGCCTTGTATTGAGAAACAATCAAGTGTCCAGAGGTGGCCTGGTGTCAGAGAAAGGGAGATGGGGGAGAGTAGGAATGCTGAGCAACACAACCCACAAATGGACACAGTTCCCTGCTACCTAATATGGGAAATGAATAGTATGTCTTCTTTATGCCCAGCCTCAAGCCCTGCAAAAAATTATTCAAGTTCTTATGGCTGCGCTGTCATTTTCATCGACAATTTCTCTTCATCCAGTGACTGTAGAATAAGAAACTCTAGGACAGTGGCTGAAAGGGACATCTAGGACAACTCCCTCATTTTGCAGAAGGGAAAACCAAGGCCCAAAATAAAGAAAGAATTTGCAAGTTCCCAGCAAAAATGTTAACACCAGCTTCCAATTCACAGTCCATCATTCTTTCTATTGCACCAAAGTCTGAAAGGTTGAGGCAGAAATAGAGACTGGCAAGTGAAATGACTGAATGTTACCCTTTAAAGTTTGGGTGTTTTTCATTTGCCACAAATACAGACTTAATGTCAGTACAGTTTTAAAATGTAATTATAGAAACTTGTCACTAAAGCCCATATGTTGCAACTGGTGAATGATATTCAATTCAGGCTCCTAGTCTGAAGCAGCAATCAAGGTGATTCTCAGGAATTCTCAATGACGTTGGTACCCATCTGGATTTGTTGAAAAGTTTAACATCCTTTTTTATTATTCATGATTTTGCAGTTCTTCAAATTGCAAGGTGATGGGGAGAGCACGCAATTTTCATCCAGGCCATGAAATCATTCTTGAAAATTTGGACATTCATATAAATGGCTTTTAATTTTTCTTAGAGACTGCTTTTCCTTAAAAAATCATGAAATTTTAAAAATATATACGATAAATTAAACTACATAAATGATAATATTCTCATTATAATAAAATCTTAGGGATAAGGAGCTAGTATTTCAAGGGCTCTATTCTCATTTGTTATTATTCCTAGTTGGAATTGTATTCCTCAAGGCTTAGATCTAAGTGACTATATAATGAACATTGACTAGCAAAACTATTGAGATTCTAATTTATTTAAGAATCATCAGATTTCATACAAGAAATTTCAAAGCATGTCATCAGTAACATATTGAGAAGCTGCACACTCCAAAAGGCATGCCTTTATTTTAAATGTCTATAAGCCTGGACCCACAGATTCTAATGCATGAAGGGACACACATGCTCAGTCAGGAACAGACCCTATTCAGGTCTCATCCTTTAAGGGGGCAGCCTTTTTCACCTGCCTGTCCTAAACTTCAGAATCATGCCTGCAATTGTCCAGACATGTCTTTGTAATGATATTAGCATTAATTATTTTACTCAGGAATTTAGGTTGACAACAGAAAAAAATCAATTGCAAATAATCAAGGTTACCCTATCAAATGAGCTCTATACAGCTCTATAAAAGTCAACATAAGCAGAATTATATACAATAAATTATAGATGTTATGCTTTGTGTTTCAAACGTTAATATCCATTGTCTCTTACTAAATTGGTTAAATCCTCAGCAAGGTGGGACTTAAATGCTCTCTATTTTGTTTTTGTTTTTGTTTTTGTTTTGGCAGGGGGAGGTAATTAGGTTTATTTATTTATTTTTATAAGGAGGTACCAGAGATTGAACCCAGGACCTCGTGCATGCTAGGCATACATTCTACCACTGAGCTATACCCTCCCCCCTCACTGTCTCTATTTTGG